GCTCTGAATTATCTTTAATCTTTAATAATTTACTTTTGGATGTAAGGAGTCTTCTGATTGACTGACGTTGTTTTGTTTATCAGCTCATATCCATAATTTTGTCATGTGACCGTGACGTCATCAACGTTTTTTCATGGTTTACTCCGGTTTAAAATTGAATTTACAATTAAATTATAAGAAATGACTGTAATATTTTTTCTGTCTATTCGAAATAACATAAAAAATGTGGAGCACACTTTAAAATAACCCGCTACGCAGTGTGCACCACATTGTTGATGTTATTAATTCATAGAAAGAAAAAATAATACAGTCATTTCTTAAACAAATTATTTATAAAGACACATTTTTAAACACAACAGCTGATGATTTTTTTCTATAGATATGTTATTTTGGATTTTGGATAGTGCGAATCAGGGTAAAGGTTTTCAATATGGATTGAAAATTAATTTGATAATATGATGAACCCTCTGATGGTCAACATTTCCTTGTGGGAGTGGTATATATTTTGTTTTGTGTGAATTAAATATAATGATTACTTAATACAAGGTATTTTCAGAATCAGTAATTATAAGAAAATGAGAAAAAAATGATTATGTTTTTATATTCCAGCGTCGAATTACGACACATTCTTGAACAAACATTGTGTTGGTGCTATATGAAAATTAAGCGGAAGGCAATTTCTTCTTCTTGCTATGTTTTGTTTAGTTTTAAAGCAAGGACATACGAATAAAACTAATAAAACTTGTAATTACGAGGGATAAAAATTACTACGGCTGTAAAATCTGATATCTGCTCTCTCTCAGCATTGATAACGTGAATAAATAATCCATAGTAGAAAATGATACGTTTATTAAACTTCAGTAATAGATTGTACTTATTAGAGCAGCTGATATATCAACATGCATGTACAATGTTCTAAAGCTATATTATTTACATAAGAGGTTGAGATACTATACAATAACAATCTTGTATTTTTGTACGGACTAAACGGGAATATCTTAAATTCTACAGTGCAAATTAATGCTTAGCTTACAGCTATCTGCGCTGCTTCTTTCCTCTTAACTACATGTACGACGATTACCGATAAAATATACGATGCCCCCAGCTAAATGTACTGCTTCTCACATCTAGGCACCCCAAGATACTTGATGTAGGCCAAATGTAAACACAGACTTGACCTTGCTCTGGTATTTATTCATAATCTATTGGCATTAAACATTCGTAGCAGGGAGCAATAAAAACATAACGTCAAATGCTGACAGAAAATATAGGAGTCCTCGACTTAATTTCCTTAAGCTATCTTTTCTAAACATATCTAGACATGTCAATTCTTCCAGTTAAGTGTTGACTTTCGGATACACTTAGAATATTGACCCAACGGTAACGTTTTTAGCAATATTTCATTGCTTAGGAATCATCAGTGAACACATTAACAACACTTTTATTTGTTACTATATTAGTAATTGTTTATGTACACACTTTGTTATTGTCGGAAATAATCTTGACAAAAAACCATTAACTCGGCGGCTAATCTCACAGTGGCAATACGGTCCCTTTGTTAAAACATTAGGGTTGTTGCAACAGGATAAATTCCAATTGATTTCATTGTGAAATGGAAGAAATTACAAAGCAACGATGAAGCAAAACTGGTCGAAGAAAAACATTGAACTCGTTTGCAAAATGAGAAGACTGAAACCAAACAATTTACAAATCAACCCTTTTAATTTGAGGAAAATGAAATCAACAGTAAAAGAAGGGTAAATCAATGTGTTTTAGGTGGATAAGAATACCTGATAGATCTCCATTTTGAATTCATCTGCTTGGTTTTTACGTTATTCACTAATAACAACAAAATAAATATACTATTGAGTTTAAAATTTATTCAAATTACAGTCAATATTTTCGATTTGTGTTATGTCGTATTGTTTGTTGTCCAAATAATTATAAAATTGCCTTTCAATATCGTCATTGTCATATTCCCGAATATGGCTGTTATAATGAATGTGAAGTTTCATTGCTGTGCGGCGTGGCTCGGTGTTTTGTACATCAATGGATTTATTTTGATGTTTTTGTTATGGTTTCGGTTGGATAATCTGTTATGTCTTATCGTTTCTAGTCCAAATAATTATAAATTTGCCTTTCCATACCATCATTGTCATGAAAATTGTTTGGACGAGTATTGTAAAAATAATTGTATAAAGTTCGAGATTGCATGTTAGTTACGTTTTTGATATCCTATGGTGTATTTCGTTGATGGATGTTCGTTGTTGTTCTGTGGTTTGCATGTTGTGTCGACTATTATATTATTCGTTTCTCTGTTATGAATGTTCTTGCGTGTGTTTGTGCTGTATTTCTGTCACGTAGTGTTTTAGCGATATTTTTTAACATTGTCATAAAGGAGGAGGTTTGGTATGCAATGAAACCAGGTTCAACCCACCATTTTTTCTTAAAATGTCCTGTACCAGGTCAAGAATATGGCAGTTGTTATCAAATAGTTTGTTTCTATGTGTGTTGGCGTTTGTTTTTGTTGCACTTCGGTGTTCCTGTTGTTCCTTTGTTTTCCTCTTATAGTTGATGTGTTTCCCTCGGTTTTGGTTTGTAACCCGGATTCGTTTTCTCTAGATCGATTTATGACTTTTGAACACCGGTATACTACTGTTGCCATTATTTAAGATCTATTATATGTTATGAGTTAAAAATCGGGAATTATCATGTATTTTAATTTTACTGTGCATAACTCATATCTATCATCTATATATATATATATATATATATATATATATACAATGTATAATGCTGAAGTATTATTTTAAAATTATAAAGTTAATGGTGAAATTCATAGATTGGAAAAGCAATCCGCATATGTACTGACTTTGTCTTAATCATTTTCTGTAAAAAAAAATTGTTTGTATTGGTCCATTTAAAAAGAAATCTTTTTGACAATATATGTTATAAAATATACAGAAAATTATTTCACAAACACTTGGTTTGCAGAAAATGTATACATTGCAATTACTACTTTTCAATATTAAGAAAAATAAATGTTTTTGTTAACTAACTTATTTCGTTTTATTTTTGATAACTCATTGTTTGTTAATGTATCCTATAAAGGTGAAATACTGGTTGATGGAAGTCAGATTGAGTCTCCGCTGTGACTCATAATTACCAAAGATACAGAATGAACCTATGTTAATACCATTCAATGTATGAATCATTGTGTTTATCTTGACATCTAACATGTCTATTTTCAAACGAATATTGTCTGTTATCAGCATCTTTCCTTGGTTTGTTTTTCACATGTTTTATTTGTCTGCTTTGAGTATGCTTCTTCCGATTACTGTGTTTTTCTTTCATTTGTTCCGTTCGGCCTAAATATCTATAAGTTATTATTCCAGCAAATATAGCAATGCACAGAACGATGAAGCACACACTCCCAGCTACAACTATTGCAAATGTCTTGCTGAAGTTTGTCTGAAAAAAACAAACATTTCTGCACGGAAAAGGAAAAAACAATATTACTGCACGGAAAAGGAAAAAAACAATATTACTGCACGGAAAAGGAAAAAAACAATATTACTGCACGGAAAAGGAAAAAAAACAAACATTACTGCACGGAAAAGAGATTCTTTATCCATGTTTAAATTAAACTAGACTATCTAAATAATTAGTGGAAATTATAAGTTGAGATCAAAACAAATATCAAGTCTTTAAGAAAGGAAAATGTTATTTCTTAAGTAGGACGGGGTGCTTTTTAATATATATAACTAATTGTTTGTTTGATTCACCTAACCTCAACGTATGTAAACTGAGCTGTTTAAGGCAGGAATCAGAATTATTTAGAATATGATAGAAATATATTTATTGACGGGTTCCACATGTGAATCAAAATCTGCTTACCCTTCCGGAGTCTGGTTCGTGTTGCTCGTTCTTTATTTGGCTATGTTTGGTTTTTTATACTGTTGTTTGTTTTTCGGTCGATTTCCGGTTTTTTCCATGGCGTTGTCAGTTTGTCACCAACTAATGAGTTTAAAAATCCCTTTTGTATCTTCCACCTCTCCCGAACAGTTACACCAATTTATTATCAGTATCCTTTGTCGTATCATTAAACCCATTAAACCCCAATTTAAGTTGAACCTTTGTCATGCAAACTAACCATGTAACCAAGCCTTTAGTTTGACCTTTGTCATATCAATCAATCCATGTAACCCAAACCTTTAGACAGTCATTTGTCATGTCAATCACTCCATGTAACCCCACATTAAGTTTGTTCTTTGTCATGACAATCAACCAATGTAACCCAACCCCAAGTTTGTCTTTTATCATGTCAATCAATCCATGTAACCCAGCATTGAGATTGTCCTTTATCATGTCATGTAACCCTACCGTAAGTTTCTCATTTGTTATGTCAATTAATCAATAAAACCCCACCTTAAGTTTGCCTTTTGTCATGTTAATTAAGCCATGTAACCATCCTTCAGATTTTCTTTTGTCATGTCAATAAATTCATTAAACCTAACCACAAGTTTGTGTTTTGTCATGTCAATTAATCCATAAAACCCAACCACAAGTTTGTACTTTGTCATGTCAATCAATTAATATTACCCCACCTAAAGTTAGTTCTTTGTTATTTTAATCAATCCATTAAACTTTCCTTCATTGTGTTCTCTGTTATGTCAATCAATCTATAGAACCCCACCTTACGTTTTTCCTTTGTCATGTCAATCAATTCATGTAACCCAACCATCAGTTTGTCCCTTGTCATGTCAGTTAATCAATGTTACCCATCATAAGTTATTATTTTGTCATGTCAATTAAATATTGTAATCCCGCCATAGGTTTGTCCGGTGTCATGTTAATCAAGCCATGTAACCCCAACTGAAATTTGTTCTTTATCATGTCAATTAATGCATGTAACCCCACATTAGGTCTTTTCTTCGTCTAGTTATATCAACATATCATGTAATTCCAATTTAAGTTTGTGCATTGTCGTGTCAATAAAAAATTTATAAACCATCATTATATATAACCGATAAGTTTGTTTGCAATATCTAAAAATGCTACTACCATAGAAATACGAAGGCGTTTAAAGAAGTTTACTGTATTTTGGATTGCTATATTCAAATTTAATTCAGTTACTTCCAAACTCGTTTTAACTTTTCAGATGACTTTTACGCGCAATATTGTATATGACCTGAAACTGTATACATATTGTTAACTTAGCATCTACCTCATTAATGTCTACCAAGAGTCATTATTGCTATATTTCTTAATCATTAGATATAAGAAGATGTGGTATGAGTGCCAATGAGACAACTCTCAATCCAAGTGTATCAAATTGGCATTTATGTATCAAACTCAAACCTTATGTTGACCGCCACTGGGCCTTCCATACTATCAGTTATATTAGTATATTGCAACATGCTATTGTTGCCAATGGTCGATGATATGGTTTCAAGCTGTGTTCCTTTAAAAGTCACTTCTGCTTTTGCACTCCAAGTATATTTAGAACAGTTCGCAGTATTGAGTGCTGGTAGGCTACATTGACCACTTGTCATAATAACATGACAGTTAGGTCTTTGTATGTCGGTTACCTAAATTGATATAAAGTATTGGTTAATATAACATTGTTTGTTTGTCTCTTTTGTTAGATAAATATGGGAAGTAAATTGTCCGTTCGAACTAGAAACAAACTGATTTGTGACTTTGTACGGAATTCTGTCACACGATACCATAATTTTGTTCTGTCTAGTGATTTATCTAGTTGTGTTAATACTTATGACTCGATGACTTTTTCATCCCTTTTTTATTCCTCATATATTTTCAACGTTGCTTTACACTTATCTGAATATATACGACATAAATGAATACTTTTTTGCACTGAATCGGAGGTGATATCTGTCATTTCTTTATTTTTGTTACAATTTTTCGTCATCTAAGTCGCTTTCGATGTCTGTTAACTCTTCAGATAATTTTTATCATTGAAAAAAGTGTGTCTTTTGTGAGATTTACGAGTTAGTTAGTATATCCTAATGCACACCTGCTCTTTTATGATACATGATCCAATTATATTAGGTAGACAAAATGAATTATAAGGACCACAAAATAACACGAATAACTAAAAACTTAATAAAGCCCGCATTACTTTCATGGCAGCTCACCTTAATAACAAAAAAGGAAGGCTTACCTAAATAACTGGAATAGAAATTCCAGAAAAAAAAATTAAAACAACACTTTCATGCATCCGAAGCTCTTTTCTAGATAAACCTTTGCCAGAAAAATTCAGAGCTGTATAATTAAAGAAAATAACAGAAAAAGAAGAGAAAATAAAAATTTAAAATTTAAAATAAATTAAACCACTGAATTTGAGTTATAGGAATTAAAAAAGGTAGCGATATATCTACTGACAAAGGGAGATAATAAGCAAATAGGCATTAAATAAAGCTTACGAATTCAATGACTCAGCTAATTCATTTCTCCTTTCAACATTAAAGTTATAAAAGTCTGAGAGAGAGCTACATGTATCAACAGATAAATTCATATTTTTATTACGTCGGCTGTATATTAAACAACAGTTTTCGATTTCAAAGGAGAATATATTTCAAACACTTGGCGAACAATATATGATAGATATAGCTTAGTCTACCCTGTAAAATTATTGATCATAAACAAATCAAAATGTAAATGCTCAAAACTACTCGTTTCTTCAAAGTGTATATTTTTAAGAACTGTGTTAGCATTGATAGAGATAAATATACGTGAGAATAAATGATTATGAGTAAAAACGAAAAGTATGGTTAAAGAGAGTTGGTCATTTTTGTCGACAAAATCAACTAAAAAGTAACTTACTACAAGTGTTCTTGATATTGTCTGTTTGACTTCCTCAGAACTGTTTACAAATACTGCAACCGTATATTTACTTTGAATGAAAATAAATTTCCATTATTTACATTTTCAAATATAAATGGAATTCATTACCTTTCTCCCTGGCATATATCGTTATTTCACGTTTTCAGCCTTAAACAGGACAGCTTAGCCATCAGTTTTAATTTTGCTTACATTCAAATCATTCATTCTGACAAAACTGATCCATTATCGACATAATTTCTATACATATTCAGATTGTTGATTAAGTGAGCCTTGTGAATTGAGACGGTGAATATATGTCGATAAATACCAGATCAACCTATGTAAAGTATTAGGTCAATGTCAGAAATAATTCCTCTGTGTTGTACATGTTGTACGAGGTTTGGGAACTTGGGAAGGGTGCAGTTGACCGTTCTCCTCAACAATGTCATGTCGATTACGAAGGAAAATCACTTTGTTACTATGTTTGCAGTATTAGAAAATAACAACGCATAGATCATTAAAAGAGGACGTGACATAATTTGACATATCCAACGTCAGAGCTATTTCATGTCAGAATTTTATTTTGCAATAATTTATTTGTATTGTTTACCTAGTTTTTGTTTGTGGTTTTTTTTTTGTTTTTTTTTTTTTTGTTTTTTTTTTGTGTTTTTTTGTTTTTGTGTTTTTTTTTTTTGTGTTTTTTGTTCTTGTTTTTTTTTGTTGTTTTTTTTTTTGTTGTTTTTTTTTTTGTTAAAAATACGTTTATCTTAAAAACCGCAGATGATATTAAAAAGTAATTTCGTTTATTACAAATTGTGCACACAAAATCGAATAATGAATAAATAAGAAATTTTGAAACCAATTGCGAAATGAAAAGAAGATGATGTGCGATATATGCGTTCTCTAATTTCTCTTGCCGACCTGTTCGTTGAAGTCCTTAAGGGAATGAAGTTTTAAATTGTTGTTTTGCCCTTCAAAACTGCAATGAAACCGTTAGCACTTGGCAGAATCTTGCGTCTATTTAAGAGATGAAGACAATGTCTAGCACCGGTTTGACAAAATAAAGTAGTCTTCTTCACTAGTTGTCAAAATATTAAATCTTTGTATTGAAGAACAGAGAAGCAGTGCAATTTCAACAAATTACAGGCGATAAAGCTTAAGGTCACACAAATTTACTATATGTATACTTAGTTTATAAATTGCGTGTATTGATTTGTATCCTGTATCAAAATACATTGTCTTTCATTTCAAGAATGTAATTATTGGTTACATAAAGGAAAGATACACTACGCTTTATTGACAAGATTTGGTTGAAATAAGGATGGAAATTAATTATCAGAAGAACTGTGGTTTTATTGTTGTTTTAACAACAAACGTTAGTAGGTTTACGTGCATAATGATTTAAGTCGGTCTAGATACCTTCCACCAATAGCAGTTAAAATATAAATGCGAGTTATGAAGCAGTTGTTTTAACTTTACTCAACTCTGGTCTAAATAATACTACATACAACATTCCAATTGTAGAGTTTGGTAGAAGGGTAAAATTTCCATCAGTCTTTTCGCCAGGACGTAGCGTATGATTCATTGAATCTGGAGCCAAAACATACGAATGGTCATCCGATATCTGTACAATGTAAGTATCAATATTTGCACCAGTGTTTATAACTTCATATGTTACAACTCGTTCATTACCTATTGGAATATCGTCTAAAATATCAAGTAATATACATTGTAATATTTGGTCAAAAATAAAATCTCTGTTTACAACTTAATGTAAATAATGAATAGCAATGTTGGCAATTATAGCATGCAAAATGTTTGAAAGAGATAATATTTCAAACGCTGATGTCTTTCCTCAAAAATGATAAACTAGAAAGTTTATTGCAACACTTACTCATGATTTCCTTGATAGAGGATTGCTGGTCACAAGAAAGCTATTAAACCAAGAGTTCCAAATGATGAAGTTGAAATCATCCTTTCGTAAATTTTACGGACGCCATCACGAGTTGGTTGACCGTTATGGAATTACCGTTTCACAGATGATATCAGATATGTTCCTTATGTCGTAACTACAATACCCTTCCCTTTTTCTCGAATGTGACCTACCGAATTAGACTATTTACCGGATTTGTAATAACATAAGCAACACGTCGGGTGCCACATGTGGAGCAGGATTTGCTTACCCTTCTGGAGCACCTGAGATCACACCAAGTTTTTGGTGGGGTTCGTGTTGCTTAGTCTTTAGTGTTCTATGTTGTGTCATCTGAACTATTATTTGTCTGTTTGTCTTTTTATTTTTGGCCATGGCATTGTAAGTTTGTTTTCGATCTATGAGTTTGACTTTCCCTCTGGTAACTTTCGTCCCTCTTTAATATAAGTTTGAGTTATATATCATTCTTTATACATGATACAGATGGTTTGATATGCAATGCATACATCAAGATCATTCCGGTTGGGGATGTTTCGTAATAAAATAATGGAAAGCAGTTTCACCATGACAATAGTTCAAAAATGAAGAGTTTAAATAAAGCAGCGTACGATCGAATGATCACTCAGATAATTAGAAATCAATTCAATTTTAAGGAATACAATAAATCATATTACACTAAAAGTAATGAAAATCACGTTTTAATGATGAACTTTATAACGTTAATGTAATATTACCAGAAGAGGCTATAACGTTTAGTTCTACATTTGTCGGTCTATATACTGGTCTTGTTGTTCTGATCACAGGATCCCTTAAAACATCAGAGACGTTTATCTTCATTTGGAAAGCCTATTAAATATAGAAGTTCTAATTGAAATTAAATATATTTAATTGAATATTTAGAGTTAAATATACAATCATATTTATTGATGTTTGAACTGTTATAATATCTGCTTGTTATTCCGCATAATAGTTATCAAGGGTACCAGGCTTATAATTTAATACGCCAGAATCGCGTTTCGTCTACATAAGACTCATCAGTGACGCTCAGATCAAAATAGTTATAAAGCCTAAGAAGTACAAAGTTGAAGAGCATTGAGGACCCAAAATTCCAAAAAGTTATGCCAAATACGGCTAAGGTAATCTATGCCTGGGATAAGAAAGTCCTTAGTAATTCGAAAAATTTATAATTTTGTAAACAGGAAATTTATAAAAATGACCATATAATTGATATTCATGTCAACACCGAAGTGCTGACTACTGGGCTGGTGATACTCTAGGGGACGAAACGTCCACCAGCAGTGGCATCGACCCAGTGGTGTAAATAGTTATCAAAGGTACCAGGCTTATCATTTAATACGCGAGACGCGCGTTTCGTCTACATAAGACTCATCAGTGACGCTCTGATCATTAAAATTATAATGGTTACTTTAAGAATGTCTAGACATTGTGCAACGGATCACCTGTTATAATTTTCATTAGCTTTCAAATATTCGGCTTTGAGCGTTCCTGATGAAGTTAAATCCAGAAAAGCGCTTCAGACGCATGCAATTTATAACGTGTTGTTTTCATTGTTTTCCAGTTGTTATAAAACTAAAAATTCAAGTTGCCTGGAACATTTATTTCTTGTGTTTTAATCACATTTTGTCAGCTGGATTGCAACTGTTTTATTCCTTCTTTGGTAGAGCAGGTTCGCTACTTCCACGTGGTATAATGTAATATTTTTTATAATCATTACTATTAGTGTGTATTTGATTTACATTTGTGTCCTAGTTCTAGTTCATTCAACTACATGATGTAATGTTGAACTACATGACCCTTTGTAACATGTACTTTGAGTTTGTTACTAAATTTTTAAAAATGTTACCCGTTTAAATACGCCGGAAGTTAGAATAGACAAAAAAAAAGAATTTCGAAAGGAAGTCGTTATTAATCTATTGCATTTATACTTTCAATACACGATGAAGGATAATTCTAAACCGCGTTTCGAATGCATAACAGTTAGTAGGTTGTTTTTGTTTCTTCTTTTTTTTCAAATGAATCTGATTACTTACATAGTCAGGAATAATTATATCTGTTGAGCAAAGCATGTCATATTCTGAAGATCTGCTATCCGGTGTGTATGTTTCCATAATATATCCAGACAAATTAACCATGTACAGGTGGTCACACGTACTGTTTACCATATTGAATACCACCACGAAGTAGGTGTAATTATTTCCTAAATTTTGATATAATATATTACTGATAAAACACACATATTTTATGCTTCTTTTCAATGGATGAGATTTATGTTATTCTCTTATGTCTAACTTGGTACATGTATTTTCTGAAGTACACACAGAGGTACACACATGCAACATTTTAAGCGGTCTCCTTAATATTTTTAAACAATCATAAATGACCTGAAGATTTTTTTTTTATATCCCGAGTTGAGCGTACGATTTAACAATACTAGCCGCCTTATATTGGAATGAATGACTGTATTCGTCCATCAACGACTTAATGATTTCAAGATTTGATTCATTATCGAGCGGCTTTTATTGACGAAACCAAAGTCGTTTCTAGTTTTTGACATATTAGTGTTTCAATTTCCTCTGAATATATCCGAAAAGCGCTCCAGATGCACGCTGTGTATAAGAGTTATTTTATGTTCCTAGCAATAAGTCTATAACACTGGTGGTGGTCTGTTAGTCCCCGAGAATATCATTAGCTCAGAAGTCGGTGCTATGGTATTGACATGATTCAGAACATCCAAGGCTTCAATATGATTTTGTTTGAGCTTTCCTGATTAAGGTGATCCAGAAAAAATGTACACTTTATTATAATTTTAAAGCTTAATATAGTTCAACAAAGACCTAAACAAGTATCAAATGAAGATTATAATCAGCATTTCGCCAAGAAGCAAGGTTTTTCTAAATAAACAAATTGACATTTACATAAAAAGCCAGTATTTTAGACAGTCCAAGTATCGTCAGACAGATGGAAATTAATGAAGTCGGAATCGGATGACATGGAAAAATAGTCTATTCCGTTAAATAAAATAGAACATGCATCTCTTGCTTTAAATGCATCACCGGTCATACGATCTTAATATTTTTTCCTGTTGCAAATGGAAGAGCCTATGATAAAAATACTGTCTGATAGACGTAGGAAAACGTCTTTATCATGTTGAGTAACTGATACATAAAATGATACGATCTTAATAGTTTTTCCTGTTGCAAATGGAAGAGCCTATGATAAAAATACTGTCTGATAGACGTAGGAAAACGTCTTTATCATGTTGAGTAACTGATACATAAAATGATGAGTAAATCTCCATTACGATCATACATAAACGAGTTTTGACAAATACACTTATTTTGATCGAAAAATATCATAAATGTATTCCCGTCAGCAGCCGGTTTTATCCTACGGTGATTTTTTCCAATCCAAACTGAGAAGAAATATTAACGTATAAGATGTAAAAAAAAAGCGGAAGATACTGAAAAAGACAATCTTAAATTCATAAGCCGAAGGGAAAATTGACAACGCCATTGCCAACAAAAATGAAAAAACAATTTAGGAAAAGTAAAACTTACTACTATAGGGAAACAAAAGAGTGAGCAACACAAACCCTACCAAATTAGCTGTATACCGGTTACACACTGGTCAAACTATCTTTTTTGGCAATTTTTTTCTTTGCTCTTGTTTATTTAACAAATCACGTGCAAGCATAAAAGACAAAATTGAATACATACAACTTTCAAAATGTTAACAAATGGTATTTAATCAAACACCTATTGACATAACAGACCTGATACTGGAGACCCTTTTAGGGTGACAAGCGACCCACTGGCTGATTTCTGATACATTCCGTCCACCACCTTGATCGAACTTTGTGCTGTTATGTTTATGAAATATCTGTGATTTCTATTTTTGTGTAGGAAATAAGTTCCAGGTGTTAGGTTCTGCAATAAGAATTATAACTGTTAAACAAATTTCAATGGACCCATTCACATATGGGAGTTGACTTGGTAAAAAAAAAAAGCTGACCATTTCTCGACGTTTTAGCTAAAATGTATGCAACGTGTTTTTGGAGAAACAGCAAAAAATAATTCAACTCCTGTTTTCACAAAATATTGTACAAAACAAAAAACAAAAACGTCAATATGATCAATAGATCAAAAGAACCCGTTTAGTACTTGTGTAAAGGATAACACAAACACAAGTAAATGAACAACACTGATACACATTACAATATCAACAACTGGTTGTTACAGGCCTATGTACAACACTAATACATCATATCGTATTAACTAGTTGTATGTCCCATACCTGTATACAACACTAATACACCATACCGTATTAAATAATTGGTTGTTACAGACCTGTGCACAACACTTATACATTATATCGTATTAGATTATTGTATGTTCCATACCTATTTACAACACTTATACACACTACCGTATCAAACAATTGGCTGTTACAGACCTGTGAACTACAACACTACAACAGTATATCGTATTAACTTATTGTATGTTCCATACCTGTATACAACACTAATACACAATACCGTATTAAACAATTGGTTGTTACAGACCTGTGTACAACACTAATACGTTATATCGTATTAACTAATTGTATGTTCCATATCTATATACAACACTAATACACAATACCGTATTAAACAATTGGCTGTCACTTACCTGTATGGACATAATAACCTCATCAGTACTTGTTATTATCCTGGAAGATCCTGTTGAGGGAAATGTGATGGCAGTACCTGATGGAATTACATAACGAATTATAGGTTTTAAGTTTGCTGGTAGAGTAACAGTCTTATTAACAGTTTCAACATTGAAAAAAAAACTTTATTCCAATCTTATTTCTGGCTTTCAATCATTTTCATTTCAGGAATTTTTGTAATAATATGTTAAAAGATCATTGCCATCACAAACACAGGTATGCATAGTATATCAATATCACTTGTTTTATCCAATAGTGTGTCCTGTATTCAAAGTACCAAATTTGTCTGTAGTTATTTCATTTTATGTGTGCTTGTCATATCTCTAGCAATGTTACGTTATTGATAAAACATGCAGATGTGTTGTTATGCTGTTTCAAATGCAGAAAAAAAGATGTATATGCAACGGAAGAGAGAAGGTTGGGAAGAGGATAAGGAAGATGAACAGACAACGTAATTATCTAATTGAAAAAGACAAATCCTCAAGTAACATTGTTTGAAAACTAAACACATAAAATGAATACTGTAAATTCAGAATTTATTGCGTGTATTTATTATTGCGATTTTGTCATTTTAGACTAAAATGAGTTATAAATTTTTACGATACTGAGAAAAATCCTGTTTAATTCATATAAAAAATTTCAAAATGCGAGTTTTATTTATTAAGTAATACCATTTTGGTAGAGGTCAATATCGGTTTCGTCTGAACCTCCTTTGATACTGACTTTTAAGAGCTGAATTGAGTCATCAACATTTATAGGTTTGTTGCCAACCTCATTATCTTGCCATTCATATGTCTCTATAAGTACCTCCGATGTAGGAAAAACGACCCGTTGAGATAACACTATTTTGATGCAGATATCCACAATCGTTACAAATCCACCACGTTCGAAGACATAGGAGTTAATATTTAAATTACTCAATAACAACCTATGTATTTGTTTTAATTTTACTGAAAACATCCCAACATTTAATTGAATGTTTAAAGGTATAATTATGTTAGGATGCATGACGTTATCTTCCCAAAAAGTAATAACATACATCAGATAACATTAGTACTAAAGTTTCCGTGAAAATATTTTCAAAAAAATTCAGAAAATCTTAACTTGAATAAGTTCAACACTCAAATTTGTTTTTTTTTTATTTCATTTGTATTACTGTAGCATAGTTCATGAACTATTTATTGGTTGAAAACAAAATACCGTAAATATGCCTGTTTCAATTTTAATATATTATAAAACAATGCATATACAGTTTGACTCAACTTTTTGACGACGTGATAATGTCAATTTAAGAGATTTTGATTTAAATACCTTACATATAAACTTAAATTTTGTATTGTAATCATTTCAATTGATTGTTTTATCTAATACCTGCTACATACAGTTTATGTTTAGGAATATGATAAATCATGTCAAATATGATGTGATTTACAATGTATATAACCTTTATTACCCGAATTAATAATTTATCATAAAAATGCGCCGTGCGGTTGCCTATAATTACTTACATCCACTTTATTTGATTTTCGGTGGATAGTTGTCTCATTGGCAATCCTACCTCATCTCCTAATTTTAATATCTGGCTCAGAACCCCGAAATATAGACGAGGAATAATATTCAAACGATGCTTGGCTAATTCTGTTAATGAAACTACTTGTTAACTGACATGTTCATCTAGAATGAAACCATGTAGGTATATGTGTCTGAATAAGTCTTTAGGAAACATGTCTGTTAAATTAGCCTATACTTAAATGGAAAATCGTCAATTTTTATCATAAAGTTTTTTGTAATAACCCAATGAGAAAAAGGCGATGGCACTACCCAGCTAGATCTGCTTATCCTGCTGAGCCCGTGTCAACGTCATATTTGGTGGGGTTATTAATGCTCGATCTTCCGTTTGCTATTTAGTGTTTTAGTGGATTTGTTTGTATTTTAGTCGTCTTTCATTTTGTGCCATGTTGTTGTCAGTTTTACTTCTATTTATGAGTGTCAAGTGTTCCCTTGGTGTTATCAGCCTTTTAATTTTGTAAAAAGAATAAAAAATGAATACGCGTGCATGTCATTACCTTGACAACTTCAGTTAAAACTGAACCATAAGTATCTTTGTCTGTGTTATATAATGTTCCACCAGTTGAATGTGAAAGACTTTGGAAGAAAAGTTGCGTTTCACGTCGTCTTCGATCTATAAAATTGTAAGACCAGATGATCTATATAGTCTTTGGATTTAAGGTCCATGCATTCAAAGTAACCGCTTTTTCAATACAATAACATATCACTTATGTTGTAATAAACTCATCATAGATACCAGGACTGAAAATGCATACGAAAGACGAAAGTTTCGTCTAAAAAAGACTCTTCAGTGGCGCTCGAATCAAAAAAGTTAAAAAAGCCAAATAAAGCACGAAGTTAAAGAGTATTAAGGACACAAAATTCCGGTAGGTTTTGCCACCCCCACAGCTAAGGTAATCTATTCCTGTGGTAGAAATTCCTCAGTGTTTCGAAAAATTTAAAGTTTTGATATAATTTTGAATAATAAATCAATCATATCTATCGACTAAATAAAAAAACGTTCAATTGTTTAGCCGGCTGTAGCGTTTATGCAATTGTTTATTGTGGACGACTTTTTTTTTGCCCCTTATATGTTTTGTTTAAATATTTCTTTCCTTCATTGAAATCATGATATGGTTGTATAGTAATTTATGTACAACTATTTTACGAGTCATAATAATGAAAGTCATTAACCTTGTGTTGAAACGTAATACTTTTTACAGCATAAAATATCAATATGTTGTCAACGTAATGTTGTCAATATAATGGCACTCTGTGCGACTTTCACACAAGTGAGAGGTTTAGCTACTATAAAACCAGGTTTAATCTGCCATTTTTTACATAAATTAAGTAAATGCCTGTACCAAGTCAGGAATATGTAAATTGTTTTTCATTCGTTTGCTGTGTTTGCGCTTTTGATTTTGCCATTTGATAAAGGACTTTCCGATTTCCTTTGAGGTCGGTATTTTTGTTATTTTACTTTTTAAAAAAATAGATCTGAGGCTAACTATTGATTTAGATGCAATTATACGTTTAAAATAAATATGGATGTAAGTCGAACATGTCGAATGTTATGAGTTTACCATGTGTGTCACGTCGTTTTCTGGATGAACACTGACTTGACAATACAGATGTAATCGGGATGTTTTTCGCAAGAGCTGCATCTGTTACTTCCTGGAGCCTGTCAGCATCTTTAGCATCAGCGTCCGTAAAAACAATAACAGTTGATCTGGGTTTTGACAGTTCAATAGCTGATATATTAAGAACAATAATATTTAAATTTCAACAAATGTGAAATCGAACGAAACAAAGCATCAACATTTTAAATAGTAGGTTCCCCGTATGTTTTTACTTGGTACAACATAAAATAGACAAATATACTGATGGAAATATAAGATGAAATCACATCACATAAATGTGTTCATTTGAATAAAAATTCGTATATGTAAATTACAGTTCTGCATCAATATCCAATGACCTTGTGGAAAATATAGACCTATCGTGTTTTTATCTTTTGCCAATCAAGATGGCAGGCGACTCCTTTACTACCTAAAGCGTAAAAAAACAACCAATATTTGAATAATGAGCAAATTTTAAGACTTTTTTAGTATCCTTTAACCGTTATAATTTTTTTAAACAAGATTTTATCGTATTGAAAAAAATATGGAAATTATTCTTGGCAGAATGGGTTGTTCTTACGTATGAAACCTATTTCACGGATGTTTCGAAATTATAAGTATGATTGACAATGAAAACATGACTGTGTTATTTGAACAGCACCATACTGAGGTTAGCTTTTTGCCTAAAAGGCAGTTTTAGAAAGAAAACGATATTAAGTAAGACGAAGGAAACTAAATGGACGTTGTCTATTGCTTTTGAAAGTGTAACAATCTATATCAAAAGTAGAAAAAAAGTTTTCATAATCATTGCTATTATTTGAGTTCTGACCTTCATGATGAAAACCAACAAAAAATGAAACTATAATATATATATAATTGGTCTCAAATTTAGCCGAACAATGTTTTTATCTTTAAATTTGTGTTCGGAAATTTTTGTTCTTCCCTGAGCGGGATTTTAGCCCTTGCTTCTGTTACATCGTGCCAATTCCGCCTGCAATGTGTCCAGCGACCTAGACCACTCGTCCAACTAGGTAATATGTTTGTATTTTCTATTGGTAATGTTTCAAACATTCCTACTTTAATACATTAATATAACAAGTTTCGTTATCTCATTTATGTTAAGAGATTCCTTGAGTTGTAACCTTCATGGTAAAAATAAAATCAATTGTTCTTTTTATTCATATTACTATTTCCTGGTATTTCGTGTCCAAGTGTATTTATCGTATACATATGTTTGTCTATTAAAATTGTATTGTTTAAAACATTCTCTCATTTATTTACATGTAAAAAAAAATCCTTAAGTTCTGACCTTCATTATGAAAATCAACAAATTTCTCTTTTTGTTATATACTACTATTTCCTGTTATCTATTTGAGTAAAGGGATTCCAACGATATGATATCTGTTTTTGTTAAAACGTTCTTTGGACATTTAATGACACAGTAGTACAATAGCTGGCATCTTGAATTAATTTACTAAAGCGGCTTAGTGTTAGGATTACAATTTTAATTTGTCATAAAAATCCTTTCATAACTCTCTATACTATTGTTTACGTCCCGACTTAAATTATAGTCTCCATAAATTATCAAACATGTGCATCGTTTGTAAAAATAATCTTGAAATTTTCAAGTTTTTGTGTTTGGGGTATATTATTATATGTTCATTTGTTTACATCCTCAAATTGTAGGAATAGCTTTATTACCCTCCCAAAGCACCTGATATTAACCCCGGTTTTTTGGTGGTGTTTGTGTTGTTCAGTCTTACGTTTTATATGATGAGTTTTGTATATTGATGTTTTTCTTTTTTGCCATGACGTTTTTTTTTTTTACTTATGAGTTTGAAAGTTCCTTTGGTATCTTTTGCCCTTTTTTACGATAAATATGTTGTTGTTCCAGCGGAAAAAGCTTTAAATAATACCTTTTACCTTTCAAGATGCCAGCTGCAGCATATTCTGGACAATCTCCACCACCATCTACTCTTATATTGGCAATTTTATCAATCATATCTTGGCCACTTGTGTAAACGAATGCTTCATTTAGGCTAGCTAAAAGTACAAAAACAAATTATTAAGTCGCATCAACTATTTACCAATGTAAACGTTGTTTTTTCTGTATTTTTTTTTTTTTTTTTTTTTTTTTTGTTCAGCATCCTACATTTCATTTTGTATGTCAAAATAAAATGTATTAATTATGCACTGTCGTCTATTATGTATTAGTTTATGAACTTTTTGTTGCTCTTTGCCTCGTTGGTTCGTAGTTTTTCGTGAATTTTCCTCTGCATATAGTTTGAACATAATAAAATATATTCTAACTGTTATACTTGTATGATAATTTGTCAGATCCAATGAGCAAAGGTCAGCAAACGAACACAGAGAAATCGCAAAATTGTATTTTTCTTTCAGTTTTTATACATACAAAACATCAGAAAGTGATAAAACTCTTGATAAAACAGTTAATTTTTGGAAAGTTGAAAGTTAAAAGTTGTCTGTAAAATTAAAAATGTTAAAATGACTTTCATGTTTATCTAGTAAAATAGATTAATCAACCTTATAGCATACTCCATATTAAAAACCTTTGAAAATTTGGAAAACAAGTCATCGCGATGACTTTCACGAGCAGAGCAATAACGCCAATATACAATTTAATCTTCGTAATAGAGTTTGTCAAATTTCTAAATATTTTATATAGAGGCTAGAAAATCGAAGACTAAGATCACGTGGTGTGAATTAATTCGGATATTTTTGTCCGAATCTGCAGGGCCGGTGAACAACTTCGACAAATTGTACCGTCTGGTGGAAAACCTGAATATTCACCGTAGGTGAATATTAGGGCCATTCACCGCACTAATATATGTTGTATTATTTGTTAATTGCATATATAATACGTGTTTACTTTTGTATTTTTCCAGAGGCCAAATCGAATGTTAATATTTGTTCGGTATAATAATACAGTTACGACCCTTCGAATCGGGGGATATCTAAAATTGTCAAACCTGCTAAGGGTTGTCAACTTTGGACACCCTCCTCATCAGAGGACTGTATTTTAGTAATATTATACCTTACATATGTTATAAAAAAATCTATTTGGTAACACATTATCACGTGACATGAATGATTCAGACAATTGTTATTGAAATGCAACAAAGAATGAATTACTCTTAAATTTTATACCCAGCGGTTAATACTCTATATTCACCGATTTATTACCTTTTCAGCTTCTTGATTTGTACACGAGGTATCTCCATTTAAAATGACGTCACAGACGTATGTATACAAAAACAATTGCCAAAGCCAGGTAAATAATGCTTTTAAGGCGAGAAAATTCATCTATGGTGTGCCGGGGATAATCTCGTAAACGGACCTTTTCAAGGCCATATATAATTCACAAAATGAGTCTGTTTTGATACAAAAAATTCTTTTATACAAACTAATTTTCTGAAGCAAGTGTTTTGAAAATCTGTTACTACAGTATGGCAAGTGCTTCTTCAATGATTCAAAAGGACATGTAACTGTAAGTTCGGTAAAATAAAACAATGGTGACCCTTTATAAGCGATGAATATCCAAAATTGTCAACCCTAAAAAGTAATTTCAATTCGGGCTACGCACTCAGGGAAATACACTTTTAGGGTTGACAATTTTGGATATTCACCTTTTCTACGGGCCATTATTGTATATTACCTGGATCATTAAACAAGGATAAAACATAATCTGCTGGTTCATTGTTTGATCCAATAGTACTTGTTACAAGCTGTATAATCTGTTCCTTGACGGCAGCAATCTCCCCACCCATTGATCCACTAAAATCAACCGCAAACGAGAGCGAGACTTGTGTTCGTTGTTTTATTTCAAATAGGGATTTGAACAAATCATCCCCTAGAATGTTTAAGATTCCTGTATCTGAAAAAAAACAAACATTTATAATTTTTCAGATTAGAAAAGGTAAAAAGCATTGTCATATTTTATCGTATATCTATCTTGATGTTGACAATACGAACCATGAACATGAATAAGGCATATTTCGTAGAAATGTAATAATGTTATAATTCATAATTATTCAATTATTGCCCCGATTTTATATTCTACTGCCATTAAGATTTGTTTTTTACTTGTATAAGTCTATCATTCTTCAAAGGACATATACATTTACTATTCTAAAATGTCATATTGTTGAATTTTATTAAATTGTTCAATATAAATCGGAAATAAAGGATATACATTTGCTAACTTTAACTAAACTATCTCTTTCGATTTTTTATTTTTTTCATTTGTCGTCCCGGAATTTTATTGTGCCAGTTTTATCTGCAAATCAAGTCTGGAAAGTTTAATATACGCAAAACTATGTTTCGACTATTTGACCTTAGTAATAAGTCACAAAAACGGAACATTACATATAAACTGATACTACATGTAACTAGTTTTGAAAAGTATGTTTTTAGACGTCTGGTCTGTAAATTCCAGTATTTCTGTCCTATCCTTGATTTTGCAATTTTAACAGAGTGTTATTTCGTAAAGCGGATGATGCATGATAATTAGGAGACAATAACACTGTCGAGGATCCGTTTTAAAGTTTGTGTTTTTGTTTTTAACCGGATTTGTATCTGCCTAATGAATTAATTAGATTTGAATATTCAAAGTACTATTGACTGGCAACACAAGAAATATCGTTTTGATTTTATCATTGTTTTTCATTGTGGAAATTTATTAAATTTAAAAAAAAAGCTGTGGTATGATTGCCAATAAAACAACTCTCCACCAGAGACCAATTAACGAAGGGGTTTACAACTATAGGTTAAGGTACGGCCTTCAACAATGACCAAATCAATACCACATAGTGAGCTATAAAAGACCCCAAAAGACTAATATAAAACAATGAGTTTTAATATATTTATTAGATGCATAATTAGAATGAAAACATGTTTTGTATTATAGGAGACAAACTTAAAAAAAACATATTGGTACGTGGAATTTTCCATTACGAACTTACCTTCAGCAATAAGGAATTGTTTTGTCGCTTCTACAGCTGCTTCATATGCTTGACCATGTAGATGATAGTGTGGGGATAACGTTTCCACTGTTGTTTCTTTGTTAATCCCACACTTTGCGATAAGGTTTCTACTTTCGTCATCAAGGCCACCATGACTACATTTTCCTTTCAATGCATTTTTCGGTCCTGCGATAGTAATTTATAGTACATTATATCTATATTTTCATTTTTTAAAAGTGTGTGCAGATCCGAGATTCAAGACACATTTAAACTTATGGTTGTGTCTTGTTTGATCTTATAAACTTTCAGAATACTAAAGCATTATACACTTATAATTCAACACGAAACAGGTTGAATGTGTTGTCTATGTGTCCAAACCAGTGATGAAAAACGGTTCTTTTTATAATGATATTGAGGGCTTCAGATTGGTTTAAAAAAATTTATAATAGATGGCAACGGAATGAAATTATTGACAATTCCTTCATCAATTGTAAGGAATAGGGGAAATGAAAATAACTCTATATAAATTCAATGAGTCCAATTCGCTTTTCTGGATTTACCTCCATTGGTTAACCAAAAACAAAGACATTTGAAAGCCAGATATGTGTCAAAACGTAGAAACGTGAGTAACTATCGCCAATAGGTACCTAAGGAGAATAACCAATGTCACGTCTGTTCAAGTTTGCTCGAGAAAGTTGGAAACCAGTTTCTTTAGAATGGACGATTCATTTAGATTCATAAGTGGAAAAGTGGTTTTACACAGTTTGCTGAAACTAACCGGTTAAGAATAGGGACCCATCGTAAGGGCCTGTGACACTCTGGAACAAACATTTCAAATGTTTCTCGGGGTTCACAAATTAAACCATGCATTGTTTTTTTTTTTTTTTTTTTTTTTTTTTTTTTTTTTTTTTTTCATTTTGATTTCAGACATATTTGATACCTTTTATGAAAGATGAAAGATGTTCTCATCAAAGATACCAGACTTGTTATTTAGTATGTCTAGGTGCGCAGTTTTTTTTTTTTTTTGGTTTTTTTTTCTATACAAGACTCATCTGTTGATTTTGAATTAAGACAATTCAAAGGTCAAATCAATTAGAGTGTTGAAGAGCATTCCAAAAAAATATTGCAAAATCTGGCTAAAATAATTTACACCTGGGGCAGCAAAACCTTCGTATTTTGGATGATCCTAAATTTTCATCAACAGTAAATTTACCAAAATTATGTGTCAATGGCATTTCATGTCATCAAAGAAATCAGCAGTGGTATCGGCGAAGTGATTGTGAAAAATTATCACAGACACTGAGCTTATGATTTTGTACGTTTATGCCGGACGTGCATTTCGTCTACACAAAAGTTATTGGTTGTGCTATATTTAACATAGACGGAAATCAATTCAGAAGTAGAATTCCAATAAAAATCTATAATTTCATAATGTTGGAAATATTGTCCAGGATGCATATGCCGAGGATAGAAAAACTTTAGTATGTCGGATAATCGTAAAGTTTCGACAAGAGTAAATTGACAAAAGGTACGCACACATGACAAACGGTATATACAGTCATTTGTTCTAAATAGTGTCATTTACACACACCTGCCGTTCAGATTGATAACATAGATTCAGGATGTTACCTCTCCAAGATGAAAAGATAGGAGTTGTCCTTTAAGATTAAGTTCTTAGCTAGAAATTAATACTTATGAAGCTACTATTCATTTTGCATTATCAATTCATAAATATTGTCAATACATTTTAAAACCTAGAAAACTAGTACGAAACTAATCTTATAAATTTATTAAGTCGATCTACAGTTTACATGTTATACAAACAAGATCATGTATAAAATTATACACATACTTGCTGGCTTCAGATTACCTCTACCATGATGAAAACCACTTGTCAGCATATTTGTCACAAGTAAATTATCTTTACAAGAAACACTGAAATCAAATACAAAATACACTGATTGAAATAGGAAAAAGTTTATGCTTGTTCTTTATTTGTTATTTAAGCATTTCGTCCATGATATTTATTAAATCGTGTTATAACCTAAGACAATACAAAATAACTCAGAAAATTAAAATCATCAACAAACGTATTCCCTTATTACAGCAAACAAGTTTTTTTGCCGTTGTTAACATTTTGTTGAGTTATCATCGCTTTATGTTTTTAGCTTTACAAAAATGGATTTAAAAATTCTATGCTGAAATAGATAAGACTTTTGGCTTTAATATTAATTCACTTACAGGGTCTTTGCATCGGAATTAAACATATTTATTCTAAAACCAGTTGTTGGCATGACACGGGTTATGTTCTTCTCATATATTTTATGACGGTATAATACTAAACCCCTAACAGGAGGGATTGTGCCTGATATTCATATGATGAAGACATAATCTTTTAATCAGTTTAATTGAGGTCTGGAGCTGGCATGTCATTAACTGCTAGTAGTCTGTTGTTATTTATGTATAATTGTCATTTTCTTTATTTTCTTTTGTTTCCTATTCTGACATCGGACTCGCACTTCTGTTATACTGAGTTTTACTGTACATACTGCTGTGCGTTTGTTTTTTTCTACATTGGCTAGAGGTACAGGGGGAGGGTTGAGATCTCAAAAAACATATTTAACCCCGCCGCATTTTTGCGCCTGTCCCAAATCAGGAGCATCTGGCCTTTGTTAGTCTGTGTATAATTTGGAGTTTAGTATGACGTCCATTATCACTGAACTAGTATACATATTTGTTTAGGGGCCAGCTGAAGGACGCCTTCGGGTGTGGGAGTTTCTCGCTGCATTGAAGACCCATTGGTGGCTTTCGGCTGTTGTCTGCTCTATAGTCGGGTTGTTGTCTCTTTGACACATTCCCCATTTCCATTCTAAATTTTATTTTATATTATAATACTGACACAAAATGCTCAGTTTTAAACAATGGGTGGATTTCAAAACCCATGAATATATATGTAGGACTCGGAACCGCGATGGTACTCCGAACCGCGATGGTCACGCTGAAGTGCGTTGGTTAACAATCTGAAGTGCGATGGTGACATTGTGACGCTAACTTGTTGATAACTACGCTGAAGTTCGATGGTGGTTACGCTAAAGTGCGATGGTCTGCCTGTGACATTGAGTAAAAAGCAAAATGTACACGAGCTGTTTAAATGAAATAACATCATTATGATTTGAACAAAGTAGCTGCTAGCCTCGCATTTGAAGAAAGACCTTTTAATTTCTGTTCAGTTCAAACCAAAGACTTTAAAATCTTCATTTGTTTTCATCTAATTTTGAATTTGCCAATTCTCCGATTAGTACACAGTAGTATGGAGTCAGAAAATATTCTGTTTAAGGGTGAAAAAAGTTAACTTATTCAGCGTGAAGGTCTATATAATAGTACTTTGAAATTGGCTGATTCGCTGCTGAGGAGAATAAATTAAATTGGGAAGTACACGTAGGGACCAGTCAGGTTAATTTCGGTCTAATATGTTGTAGAAAATTAAACACTGTAACCACAATAAAATAAGGCTAGAGTGATGGTGTTCTTACAAATCAGGATTTATCTCGGGACTTAAACAACACTATATCAACTTGATATAGCAAAAACATTGCTAATACTAGTAAGTAATTTCATTATTAAAGTAATTGTCTACACAAAATCGTGTGAAGCATACTTGAAGAGAACTCAAATTTAATATTTAGATCAAGACATTTTATTTGTCGTACAAAAGGTTTGCGGCATACTTCCGAACACTGGTTAGCTCATCTGCAAACCAAGTATATCTTTTTGCCGCTTTGTTCCCCATAATTTGCCGCCTGACATAGTTTTAAATATTTTTGTAATATCTCCACCTGCACTGCTCAAAACTGTTCGGGACTTGAATCATTCGTTACTTTCTTTTTCCTTTCCTTTGTTTGCGTGAAAATTTCATCTACAAAATCTTATTCACCTACCGGCGAATCCATGTTGTATATAAAAACGTCACAACATTCAAACGTCATGCTAAACCATCGCACTTCAGCGAAAGGACCATCGTACTTCGGCGAAGACCATCGCACTTCAGCGTGACCATCACACTTCAGCGTCCCCATCGCACCTCCGAGTCCTACAAATATATATCGTGGAATTCGTCAAGGCTGTCCTTGTGGTGCGATAATTTTTGTTATTGCTGTTTTAATTTTGTAAAATTAGGCAAGACTACAACCTTGAAGGATTTGAGATCAAGATAGATGGAAACAACCCATACATTAAAGATGAGCCAGCTAGCAGATGACACTACTCTTTTTCTTAAGTCAAAACAAGATATTACAAAAGCTCTAAACATTATTGAAACATTTGGTTCATTTTCAGATTAAAACTTAACAGATCTAAAACAGAGGGTATTTGGCTAGGGAAACAAAAATATCAAAATATCAACTTTACAGAAAAACTTGTTAAAAGTCTGGGAATATATTTTGGGCATAACAAAGAAGAGTGATAGAAACTAAATTTAAAAAAACAGCTAAAAAAAACCTGAAAAAATTATATTGAACTGAAAAAAAAACTTGACCATGATAGAAAGAATAATAGTTTTAAAATCTTTAGTTATTCCTAATATTACTTTTTTGGCAACAGTTTCAACTTTTGGCAAAGAGTATTTAGACAAATTTCAAAAAATTATATATGCCTTTTTATGGAACAATATGACAGAAAAAGTAAAACGCACTGTAATAAGCTACGACCAATTAGATGGTGGATTACAAATGGTGAATATAGATAAATATATAAAATCTATTAAGATAGGTTGGATAAAAAGATAAACTGCTGATAAATTTTTTAATTTGGTGGTCATACCAAAATTTTATCTAAATAAATTTGGAAGCAATCTACTTATCTTAAGAATGAACTTAAAGAAGAAAAAAAATAATATTCGAAGCAAATTTATATAATTTTAAAGAAGATGATAAAGAATTTCTAGTTGGGTATATTAAGTGGAACAGAATAAAAAATGTGAAAATGTACAAATTGAAGCTCAATATATGCAAAAATTATTCATAAATATATAAAAGATAATAAACTGAAAATGTTACACTATTCTTTCAAACAAAGTTGTATTAAACAATGGAAAATAAGTCTTAACTCTAACTGTAAAGACTATGGACATTTTATTGTAACTTGTCACATTTTAAATGAGTTTTGGGGGAAAATATATAGGTTATTTGAAAAAGTTAAGATTGGTAGACATAAATTTACTCTAACGAATTTAATCTGGGGTTATACAATTGATGATGAACATTATTATGAAATGAACTTTTTACTTACAGTTATTGTGTTTACTATGCATAAAATATACTAATTGTCGGAATACAAGACAAAGTATATCAATTTGTATAATGTTTTAAGTCAGAATTTAGAAATGGATTATTATTACAAATAAAATATATTAATATTGAAGGAAAAGGGATACTAGAAAAGATTTATTCTTATATTTGAACAACAAAATTATTATATCATTGTTTATATTGTTATTATAAATGTACTTTACATAGCTTTACTTGTTTGATAGATGATCATTTCATTTTACAATTTCAATGAGTTTTGAAGGTACCTGTTTATATGTTCCACATATACTTTAATCATAGACTATACGGGGGAACTACCTATCATGTTTACTGATTGACCTAAATTTTACGTATACATATCTCTTGTGGCGTATACATTATGTTTGGAATAGAAAAACATAGTGAAAGTAATTAATTCACAAAAAAAAGCTGACAATACCGTTATAGACGGAAGATAGATAAGCATACTAAACCACAAACCAAATTCCGAAAATGCTGCTATAACCCGTTATTCTTTTTTACTCTCAACATCTATCAGATAGTTAACAATGATATATAAAGGGCTACTGTTTTTGAATATAAAGTTCATATTTAGAGTCATAATAGTACAATAATAGAGAAATAATTTATTAATGATATATAATATATTTACTAACAAAACTATAAATACATACCTGACGATACTCTGGTTTTTAAGCACTAATATACAGGGATCTCCACTGAAATAGCTATACCAGCATGTACAATATTATTGTTGAATAAAAAAAAGTTATCGTCGCTTACATCTATAATCATGTATTTTGCAAAAGCTACATGAAATATAAGAACAAGTGTGACAAAAACAGATTTAAATCAATGAAGACTCTTTGTGCATACATCTCTTAGAACTTACAGTGAATTTTCCATATCGAGACATGTATCATCATCTGATGTGGCTACACGCATCAAATGCATTCCTTTAACTCCTAAAAAATTTAAAAAGTCATATTATAAACATCTTCATTAATAATTTTTGAAGATGTCATCTAAAGTCAACTCATTTTTATGTCATGTGGAAATGTTACAAAGATTTGAAACAAACAAAAATGTTTAGATGACTAAACGCCTTTTTTCCGAATAGATAATATGTCATAACCAAATATATTTTGATATGCCTATAGCTTTTTCAGTCTTTCTTTCTGTCAAGAAAAACAATGCAAATACATTTAAAAAAGAAAAAGTCTTAACATGTTTTTTTTATTCTTTCCTTGAATTTGCAGCAACATTTTAGCTGCGTCGGATAGAAATCGACCTTTTACAAGTGCGAGTTTACATGTACATATATAAGACTTTGATTGATTTTGGAAAATTCAAATACGACATAAAAGATAATCGATTTGAAGCCGACTACATCACGTTTGTTATATAAAGACAAAAACCTATGATATAACAGTATGAATATACAACAACAATGTGGCTGTATCGACCAAAAACCTAACTGGGACGAATTTGAGTGCTTACTTATCATATATATTCAAGTATATATTTTGAATACAGAGATCAATCCATATTGCATTATGTATTCGAGAACATTGTGTCAATTTTTTTTTTTTCTCAATTAGTGATAATATTGAAAAAATATAGATGATACAATACGTTAGAAAAACAACAAGTCAACTTAAACAGTGAATTTCGTGGCCTTAATGAAAACAATAGCATACAATGCGCAAACAACATTTCTCAAATAAAAACAAAAACATAGAGAATATATATGTGTAAACAAAGTTTTCATTTGAAATAGATAAATTTGAAAGCTTACCAAAATCTAAATATGGTGTTTTACCAAACATTTCAACCCAGTTTGTATTGCTGTAGAAAGACTGTATTGTATAGAGGCATTCACCAATTTGCTTCTGTAATTCATTGATATCATCTTTTCGTGCTGATAACTTGTCTCTGCAAGCAATCAGGTGGGTATGTGCTAAAACGAAAAACTTACGCATAATGTCACAAACAAAGCCTATGTCCGAAAAACTATCGACATGCAAGAATAAAAATAAAAATATTTCGAATAAGAGCCAAACTGAAACATATCATATGGCAACTTCCTTTGTGACCTTTATGCTACTAGGTATACGATAACAATAACGGCCTTCCCATTGTCTACATCATTCCAAAGTGAACGCCCTGGGATCAATAAACTTTAATAGTATTACCTAAATTAAATTGGGTTTTTTTTATTATGTATGAACAACTCATCAAAGACACCACAATAATCTGTTACGCTCAAATCCACACTTTCCAAGGTTAAATCAAGTAAGCCGTTAAGAAGTTGAAAAGCATTAAGAACCAAGCAAAAAATTTTTCCAAATACAGCTAAGTTGATTTTTTCCTGATATTGAAAATCTTTAGTTTTTCGAATATTTCAAAGTTTTTAGGTATAAGATTATTAGTTAACACAAGTGTTTTATTCTTTTCGAATTAAGTGTTTAGCTTTCCGTGTTGAGAGTTACCGATAAAGATTAAATCGGAAACAGTGGTGATTGGTTATTGTGTAAGAATGTTATTTGCAGACTGTATAAATAAACATTCGTTGGAAATAAAGTGTGGATACCCTTTATTAAATCATTATCATTAATTTACCGTCTTTAAAAAACTTGCCTAATTTAATCTGGTCTGCATGACAATGTACGTAAGGTATGCCTCTTTTCTCCTCCTGAGTATCAGCTACACTTTCTCGGACTGTGTTTATTGTTGTTAACATTGCAGTCCATCCATTATGATCTGAAGTTACGACAACGAGATAACAACTCAGGCGAAATATCAATAAACGCTTTTAATATAGAATAAGGAGATTATGAATAAGAAAAAATTCATGGCAATCGTAGATTTGTTTTCATTTAACCATGGTTGGGTATTTATATTCGATTATTTTATTCCAAGCAATAAGTTAAATGAAAAACAAATCTACAGCTGCCTTGTATTATTTTGATTCTAACAGGACAAATACAATAATTTTGTCCACCATGAAAGCCCTATACAAACAATACTGTTTTGGCTGTTCCATTTTCCTCGAACGTATAATAATATTAAAATTATTTTTTTATTCAAAAATAAATTAAAACAACTCAAACTTTTCATCTAAAACTGTTTTATTACATTCTCTGAGGCGTACAAGAGGCACGAAAACGGTCGGTGTTTACATTTGACGCCAAAAGCAAACATATGACGTCACCTTGTTTAGTTGCCAAAGACGATAACATCTTTTCACGGAATTTTCGTTTTGTGAAATTTAACACTGAAATAATAATTGAAATGAACTGATTTGTTAATTTTGCATTAGAGTAGAGATAACCATATTGTATTTGAAACTTGGTCTACCTAAAACGTGGGTTTTACTTTCATAAATTGGGTTTAGTATGTTGTATAAATAAGGTGAGGCGTAACGCGAAACAGCCTATTTTGTGTATTATTTCGTTTGCGCTAAAAGACGTTCTACTGTGATTATACTGGTTGACGATATATAGGTTGTCATATTAGAACTGCCAATAAGACAACTACTAAATAACGTAGATTTAAGCAATTATAAGTCAGAATACGGTCTTCAACCATGAAGAAATCCGCACGTATAGTCAGCTATAAGAGGTCCAGACATGACAAATGAAAAGCGGAAGACACATAAGGGATACTAGTATTCAGACTCATAAATCGAATACAAACTAAGAACGCCATGGTATAAAAAAACTACCAGAAGACAAAGAATGACACAACCAACGGTCACATTTATCACAAAATGAATAACAAATATGACAAACAGAAAGCAACAGTAACTTCTGAATAACAGACTCTGTTCTGGACAGGCACTTCATAATGAGGTAGAGTTAAACATGCTCGTAAGCGCTCAACAATACTTCTAACCAGGGACAATTGTGTAACAGATTACAGATCAGACTACTACAAGAATTCTGGTCTATATTACTATTTGTATGTAAGACCTCGAAAACATATCCATCGAGAATAGAGACACATAATTATCGTGTCCATATAAAAAAAAATATTAATATGGTAATAACGATTAAAATTATGTTACTATTGAAGTTGTCCTTTCTCGTTGACCTTCTACAGAAACTATTTGCCTAAGGAGCGATTTTCTGTTAATGATGTTCACATGACGAGAACATGCATGCACGTTTAGTATGAATTGAGATATCTGACCGACATACATGAACAGTAGGGAAGAGTACACTGACACATGGGCTATAAACAATGGATAAAAATTGAATGAATTGTCACGTTTTTCGTAAATCCATTAAAGAAGTCCTTGTCGATAAACGTTTGAAATTTTTGTAAGTTCCTTCGGATTATATAATCAATTCAACCATAATAATTCAGTGGTAATGTTACAATGAAAAATCGTCAATCAATCATTCGGAAGTAGCTTGGGATTAATCATAAAATAGAGATACATGTTGATTGGTTACCTCTTTCACAGGGCACCATTCAAAATCCAGAATTTGTAAAAAGTTTTGTGTATGTTAAGACTTATGCCCTCGCAAGAAGAAGATAGCTATTACGGGGAGTGACTGAATTCAGATATCTATGATGAGTTTATTTACAACCACTGGATTGATGCTACTGCTAATTGGTTTATCTCCCCTAGGGTATCTTCAGCCCAGTAGCAAGCGATTTTGTGTTGACATGAATTATAATTGATTTTGTCATAATTTTAAATTTCAAAATGTTAAGGATTTTTTACCCAAGGAAACGATTACCTTGGTTGTAATTGGTAAAACCTTTGGAAGGTTTGGTTCTTAATGCTCTTCATCATCGTACTTTATTTGGTCTTTTTCACTTTTTTCACAAAAAACACACGTCTGTCGTATAAAATATTAATCATGATATATATGTTGAGTTGATGTATGATAATATTACTGAAGAGTATTTTAATTAAAAACTATCATTTCAAAACTTTAAAAAGTTTATTATTGCAATTTACATAGTTGAAAATCAACTTCCGCTTGAGAAAAAAAGGAGCATATTCTTGACAGTGAGTAGACAAAGACAGGATCATTTATATTAACCGAATACGTGGGCTTCTTTTCATGAATACTGAAACTCAGATCAGACATTATAGATAGCAATCCTTATTTTAGTAGCTTATGAAGCATCTTCACACCATTTTGACACTACAAGGCCAGCAAATAAGAGATTGGTGTATATAAAAAAAACCGGGCATATACTGTAAAGTTAGTATGTTACAATGTCTACTGATGAACCGAATACAAGATCGATTGACGATCAAAAACATATTTGAAAGCGTAAATTAAATGGCAAAACCAGTGCACAAAATCCAGTAACGTCCCTGAGTTTGAAATATAACCATAGATCATGATACATATACTTGTGATAAACGAATTGACAATGTGTGGAACTAAGAGTCAATGTTTGTTGTCAAGCTCTACGTAAGCTTACGTTTAGGCCACTTCATTCTAATGGCAGGAGGTTTTGTGGCAAATCGAGTTTTCATAAGTCTCTTTTGTTAGTCTTTTTTTTTTCTTTTTTTTTTCTTTTTTTTTTTTTTATTTGAGTTGTTTTGTCCTGATTTCTATTACCAAACCGAATAGACTCGTTTTCATCCAGGTTGTTTCTCACTGATTCCCGTTTTCACCGTGTAATTTTGCCTGCATTTTATAACAATAAAATTAGGGTGTGACTTTTTACCCCAATATACCCAAAAATACCCAAATAAACAATTTTAACATAATTTGACTGAATAATATTATTTTTTGTTATTTGGACGACATAATACTAAGTTTAATGAGTCAATTTCAATTAAAATTTTTTTTTCCTTTATTTCATGTTTATTTCATGTCAGCCGCCTACGATCACAAAATGACTGTTTATCCCAACTATACCCCAATAACATCAAACAATTTTCATGTTTAGAAATGTTAAAGAAAACTTTTTAAATTGTACATACACTAGTTATTTGAGTATATTTAGGACAAACATATCATATTATGATCGTAAACAGCTGACATGTTACGAGGGAAAAGGTGAATTACCTTGAACTTAATTCAAAAAAATGAGTATGATTGTCGTTAAAATAACAACAAAGTTCCTAATATGACATTATTTTTCAATCAAATTATGCTGGAACTGTTGATCTGAATATATTGTGGTGTTTGGGTATGTTGGGTAAAAAGTCACACCAGTAGAAGCATGTTAATGGTAATGAACATGAACTCTTAACCAATTTTATGTACATTTTGTTTTGTTATGGGCGGTTTCTTAGGGAAAGAAAAGTTTTTTTTTATTTCCAAGCCCTGAAAATCTGTCGTGTCATAAAATTTTTTAAAATTTATATTTGCAATGACCTGTGTCGTATGGCCTGTGACATACGCAGTTTTTTTCAGTCACAACAAGGGTCAACAACCTTACACTACAGATCGGATTGTATAATACAAAGTAATTTGCTTTCGTTATTATTGTTATGATATCTTATTCAGTGTTGTGATAGAATTTTATTTACCAGGGGCTGCATATTTTGTATGTTACTTTAACACTCTGGAATTACTTTGTACAGAATGATTATAGCAAATATTCGTAATTTGGTTTGGCATACTTTTTATGTGTAATACCTTATTAATTGCGTAATAAAGACCTGTATCTACCTGTAATCTACAAGTCTTATTTAGTGTCATTATTTGCCTGATATTTTAACGTAATTTCTGTCTTATGTATTTAAATACATATATTCTGAATTGTATTGATTGTACAAAAATTATGTATTTGCATCGACAAATCTACTATATAAATAACTCGGGTCAAAACATACAATCTTTAGAAATTCGGCATTTAAATAATGACAACAGTAAGTATTACTACGATAAATGACACCGTCAATCAATAAGAGATGTAACTTGCATTCAATTTAAACTCTTAAAAAAGCATGGCATTTCTATATTTATGTTTCCGGTATTAAAATATATTTGTAAGGTATTACTTTTATTTAAGGAACTTGTGAAATAGATGAATAAGTAGACAAGGGCTACATGTACCAATTTCACTATAGAGTAATAGGACAGACCAGGACAAATTCACATTTTATCAGAATCGTAATTAAATCTAAATTTAAACTGTCAAGACCAACATTTTAGAAATAAGAATGCAATAACACTAAGGAAAGAGCTGCAAAATGTAAAAAATGGGTCGGATTAACGATAGAAAATAAAATTGGTTGAAGGCCCTACACAGTTTGACAATTGACCAATGATGGCGGATTGCCACGTCATGAAAGTCACGTCATGTCTTACTTTTTTTTATATCTTATAACCCTAAAGACTAGGTACAAATGTAATTGCATATTAAACGATCAACTTTAAACATTCAACCATTTGGAAAGTTTGGGAATTTTCCCTATTTCTCATTTAAGTAACATCATGAAATGGATCTGCATAATACATGTATAAAGTGTAAAAAAAACTTAAACTATAACTTTCTGTATCAAAGAAATACGATATCAGTTTTTAAATGTTGAATTTTGCCTGTCTTTTGAAATATTTGACAATTGATCCGGGAAATAATTATGAGCCTTTGGTTTTCAGTGTCTACAAATATAGCCCCTATTGTGGACAGTGTATAAGATACAATTTCTTTTTCGTACATCTTTTTTATTTGATTCTTTATATTGCATGAATAAAATAGTAAGTAGTGGATGAAATTACATATGTAAACAATTTATGTAATAAATCTCAAAGGTATGTAATGATTTAATCCGGTTG